CTAGAGACTGGCGACTACTCTGATCTCCGCCTCACCAAGGGCAGCAAGACCTATAATGCTCACCGCGCTGTTGTTTTCTATCATTCGACGTTCGTCCAGAACAGCCACAGCCGAAATGGCAAGAACCGGGCGAAAAATGGTCAATTTTTCGGCGAACCAACCTCTTTTGCATTCGAGGCTCATCGCGATACCCGAGCTGTGGATTGCGCTGTACAGTACTTCTACCGTTGGGATTATAAAATCCCGGGCCGCGCCCGAGACGCAAAAGTCCACACCGAAATGATGCTTCGTTAAAGTGGCGCGGGAAGCATATGACTCAGATGATGATGTTTCGGACAATGCGCGAGAGATGCGTGACTCCATAGTTGAGTTCATATACAAGCGGCGGTACCTTTTACACGAAGACCACATCAAACAGCTCATGCTGGAGGAACCTCAGCTAAGCCTCGACCTGCATCTGCGTTACGCCCCCAGTCCCGTACGCCCTAGCTCATTTCATGGACTGAGCACAGTGTTTCACCAGGCGAGAGAGTAACGAACTTGACCAATTTTTGTACTGTTTATTCCTCATAAGGTAGTCACCGGAAGTCTCTACCAATACTATTATTATACGCGACCATCCACTGGACAACTAAAGTGACTCTCAACTTGATGACAAAAGTGATTGACTGACAACCAGTCCTTTATGGACGGCTGTTGAACGCCTGATTGGCTAACTTGTCGGCTTCTTTGTTCATTTCCCGAGGTACATGCCAGAATAGAACCTCGACGTTAGATGCGTTCAAGGCCTCAATAAGACTTTGTAGCTTTTGGAACAGTGTAGAGTTCTTGACAGGGTCCCGTTTCGCATTTTTGTATCCGTTGACTTCCCATTTAAACACCCACTCAGTCATCCCCTTGACGAGGTACTCCGAGTCCGCCTTGATGATGACTTTATGAAGCGAGTCTTCACCTAACACTTCGGATCGCAGTATTTCCAATGCCTGTTCGAGTGCAGCAATGCCGGCGTTCAGTTCTGCGATTTGGTTCGTCACAGGTACCTGACGTAGCAAGAGGCTTCGATTGAATGGCGACGTTTCGCCAAAGAAGACTCCGATGGCAGCCTTCGCATTTGGAGTGCCGTTACCTCTGCAGGCACCATCAACTGCGATGAATATGCAATCGATGTGTGGCGTTATACGAGCGCACCTGCTGCAGGGGTGGTCATTCTCGCATGCTAAGTAAACCCAGTCCTCGTCGAGGCTGGGAACCTGAATCAAGTCCAGCTCTACATCGTCTCCATAGCGTGAGTAAGGCTCAAACTTTCGATTCTTCACCCACTCATGGTCTTCTGCTTGGTGAGGGGCTACAGTAACCATATCGCCTGAGCTGATTGAAGATGATAGCAGGAGAGGGACAGATAGAATGTCTATGTGTCAAACGAGTTGCCAAAGTCGCTGAGATCCAGTCAAGGCAGAAGATACAGCTGCATATGGATGTGAATTTTTGAGAGGTTTCGTCTAGTGACATGGGTTTCAGCCGTGCTATGTACTGCATGGATGCCTAAGCGCTTGAGTCTCGAATCAGGCTCTGCATGCCAGCACAATTTGCGCAGCTGTCCAATCAACTTCAAATTTTAGATAACCATCACAATGTTTACCCCGCTTGCTTGCTGTTTATAATCAGCATCATCATCATCATCATCACCATCATCCGGCGTTATCGTCTGGCTACAAGGACATAAACCACAAGACAGCAGCCATGGAATTCTCACCTTATTTCCTAAGTTTTAATGTAGGTGCTCTTGTCTCTTCTCCTGTATACCTGATACATATACCTTTTAGCTGGGCTTTCTTTCCGTACTATGTCTAACCGTTGCCAACTGTTAGGCTTTAAATCCAGCCCGACAACAACAGCAGGTCATCATAAAACCACCGCCCCCACGACTCCAGTTTTTTACAAGCGATTTGAATGCTCCTTACACTACCAACCACGAGTTGTTCAAGGGTGCGATACCCTCGCCGTCTTTCCATGAGCATCAAGTCCGAGCCCCATTCACAGTAGGGGCTCATTACCGAGCCACTGATAACACGACTGTCGATGCACGTGTAACACAGACGCCTCCGATGGTGAACCCGACCAAATTCGAACGCGAAGTGATACCCGCGACGTTGAATGTCTGTGCCCAGGTTAGGAATGCAAACGATGTATTAAGAGATAAGACCGTCACTGTAACTGCGCAGGCGTCTATGACAGAAGCTGGGGTCTTTCACAAGTCGGCTGAAGTCCTTATAAGCAAGGAAACACCAAGGGGATGTGAAACTGGCGTCTTCGTTGGGGTATCAAGGTCAAACGGCGAAAATACATATCACACTGGAGTGAGGCTATTCAACAAGCCGAAGTGATTAAAATGATTCGGTCTAGTGGGGTTCTAATCAGACGCGTTATTCACTCTATGCATCGTCTTTTAACTCCATATTGTATTCCTGAGCCCGAATCAACTTATTCAACGGTTATCCGCCAGTCCAATACCTGGTAAGGCGTCTTTGACTTGCCCCATGGCTGTAAATATGTCACGCTCGATAGAACTTCGGATGTTGTCCAGGTTCTCGTCCCGATGCTGTTTAATGCCTTCCTCATCCCGATTTAAGCTTTCTCTCTGAGCCTCAATTTCTGCAACCTTCCTATCAGCTTCGTTGTGGATTAAGGCAGCATCTCGATTCGCCATAAGAAGTACTTCTTCAGTACGCTGTCTAAGCAGCTTGACAGCGTTTAGATACAATGGAGTATCGAGAAGCCGTATGAACTCTTCAGCATTCAGTAGAAACTGGTTAACTTCGAAGAAGTTAAGGTTGAGCCGAAGAATGATGATATTTTGAATTCTGCCTACTGAGCTGAGCAGGTTCAGGAGTGACTTAGCATTACCTTCAGTCTCGAATATTTTATTGTTCTGGAAGAACTCTATCCAAGTCTGTAGCGAAATCGCCTCGGCGCAGCTATGGTCCCATTCGTCCAGTGTTTGTTGCATTTCTCGTTGTCCAAACGAGAAACATGCGTGCTCTAGTATTAACTGTAGCTGCAACATGAGTCTCTGTCGTGGCCTGGGGAGAAGGCGACAATCCCGGAGAGTCTGGCCAGGTCGGCTGTTTGGCAATACGCCTGCTGTAAGGAAGGAAGTGCATCAGCATATCGCTGGCTCACCTAAGTCGGGAAAAGAGTAATTACCTCCAGAGTCGCCAGATTCCTCGTTTAATTGGTTATATTCACCATCAAGAAGCTCCATATCTTTTGTAGACAGATGTCCAGTTGCTGTCCCTCGCCCCTCTTCACAGTTCGATACCTGCTCTTCTGGAAAGAGGTCGGGAAATCGGCGCCTTGCTACGTCGGTGCACGTGAAAACTCGATCATCCAGCAAGACCCTGATAGTGGCTACTACGCTTGAAATGCCGTATTTGTTGACCAGGTCTTTGACTCCCCGATGGCTTTTCTCTCGCTTTCTCACAGCCTTTCTGATCGACTGATCATTTGG